AGTTGTAGAGGATGTTTTGTGCTACATTATCCAAGTTCGCCCTTGTTCTTTCCTCCGAGGTGAGTTGATCCTTTGGTTTCGGTATCATCTGCCCAGCACCTGCTCCTTGAGCTGCAGCTTGTGTGTTTGCCATCATGACGGTGATTGGTCATGTGGTTATTACATCCCATATTTCGTCATGTATTGAAGAGAGAAGGGCCTGCATTCTCACTTTCTAGTCATCAAATTTTGAGAGGCTAAAGGCAAGCTGCTTAGAGCGGTTAGCATGATCCTTTTCCATTTTTAAAAAAATGTGCAAAGCTGAAAATATGCAGATTTTCAGAAACTTTTTGATAGGGGATCTACCAGGCAGTAAATGGAAAGCCTTTACCGATCAAGGTATTGGCTCTGATACCACTTGTTGGACCCGGTAGTGTTACAACGAGAGTCTAGAGGGGGGGAGGGGGTGAATAGACTCTTTACAGATTTTGGCAAATAACAACCTTTCGGCGTTACAGCGCAGCGGAAATATTAAGTTCGTTTAGTTTGCTTTGCACAGTTTGATGTTTTAACGAAATGTTCGATTTTTGGCGCGAAAGATGATATGATGCAGAAAGTAAATTGCAAATATAAAGAGATAGGGAGACGAGAGTTTTTATAGTGGTTCGGCCAACTTTGCCTACTTCCACTCTTTTTCCACAACTTATGGAAGGTTTGCACTATCACTCGTTAGTACAAATACACGAAAGCTTCCTTGATCACTAAGCCGGACAGCTTCCTGTAGGTTTTTCAACTCCGCGAGTTTACTCCGCCTCTATCAATGTCTTCTTCAGAGTTGAGGTTGGTAGAAAATGATTTCTGATTTCTCCAACTTGGTGAGGTCTTGACTTGAATGAAGAATGATTGCTTCGTATAAAAGAGCAAGATTTCTTCAAGGATGAAGATGAGGATTAATGAGCTTCTTCAAATATCTTCATGCCTTGACACCGGTTCACAAAAGCTATGTGAGAGCTGAGATTGTTTAAGAGCTTTTGCTTGATAGAATTATCGAATGAAAAGAATCAACACCTTCTTAGTTGATGAAGGTGGGTTTATATAGGTGAGGGAAATTTCATCCGTTTGAGGGAGATGAAATTTCAAACCTATTATCAGTGGGTAAGGACCGGGGAGCTTGCTGCATTAAATGCTCCATTAATGTGGTTTGTACCATGTAACCGTTGAGGGCATGGATAGCCTTAGGGTTTTGTGTTTTAGCTTCAAGGATGGTACAACTTCATTTAATGCTCCTTGGTATGCGTGTCCCACATGTTGAGGTCCTTTTTGTTCCTAGGATGGTTAGACAGCTCAGACAGTAAAGACATTATTCTTGTTGTAGAAGAGAATGAATGTCTTAATAATCGTCATAAAGGTAGCTGTTTCTTCGAGGTGGTTGATAACCTTTAATGAACTTTCGTTGTTGACGCTTCAGTTTTCGTGTTTTGTGTCTTTTTTCGTCTTGATAGCCCTAACAAAAAAACATAACTCATTTTCGTGTGTTTGTCTAGCTTAACACGAATTACAATGTGAGTTATGGCGACTTTCGTCTAGAACGAAAGCAGCTATTAAAAAATAACGAAGGTTAGGGTTCTACATTCTAGATTACATTGGTATCATCAAAATCCTAATACAAGTGTTCCTAACACCTATTACTGGGAATGCTATGCCATTCCGGCATATTCTGAGAACCAAACGGGCCATTAAAGTGATGAGTTTATCTTCTTTTTTTAGAGAGAGATTCACGTGATGTTATCACACGCCCATAAATTAGAATTATGCTAAACACTTTGTGCCCTACTTGTTTCAATAAAATCTTTTACCATAAATAAAATTTGATTATAAAAAGTTCAAATAGCCATAAACCATGATGGTAAATGACTGTTTGGGGGGTGGGGGGAACAAAGTTTGCATAATTCACGTTACACATATGTTGCATAGCGGAAGAGAGAAAACAAAGTTCGCATGTGATAGAACTTTTATACTATACAATTTAACACATCTTTAAAAGACTCTTGTATATATTATGGTGCAAACCTACTTCTCAACTAATGTGGGACAAATGCTTGTACAAAGCCTTTTCATCTTCATTTTCAACTGAAATGAGTCTACAATACTTGGGAATCAATTTCTCATTCACTCATTATATATGTGTTTTGAGTATACAATATATCAATTTCTTCGTCTCATTACAAAAGACCCGAATACACTTTGATCTGATCCAAATCAAAAGTGAACTCACATATATTTGAAATTCTGTATTTTAATAGTGTGAATTCTATACTTTGACAAATTAATAGTTGTGTCTTATGTTATGAATTTATATTTATTGTGTCATGAAATTTTGTGCATATGAAACACAAACTTTGTACATATATCAAATTTGAAAAATATGTAATATATAACATGTGTACGTGTATTACGTTGCGATTTTTTGTGTCATGTGTTATAATTAAATTATGTATCTTACGAATATTAATTGTGTACCTCATCATTTTGATTCAGGAGTCCATGTGTATGTGTTTTATGTTATGAGTTTTTGTGTCTTGTGTTATAAAATTTTGTACTTTAAGAGTATTAATTTTGTAACTAAAACAAATTAGTTGTTGTATCTTATGTTATGAATTTATGTATTTGTGTTGTGAAATTTTGTGCATATGAATATAAATTTTGTACGTATATCAGGTTTGAAAAATAAGTAACTATATAATATATGTATGTGTCTTATGTTGTGATTTTGTATGTCTTTGTATTATGAAATTTTGTACCTCTATCATTAATTCATAATGGGGTGTGAACCTTGATCTATGATATAAATTACCCCGTATTTATTCTCTTTCTCCTTGTCAATGAGCTTCAAAGGTCTTGTTCCGAAAGCGACTCAAAACAAACAAATGATTATGTTGGGAAAGGGACTCAAAACAACTCATAAAAACGACTGAAAACTCACATACACTGCCTTCATGAATATGCATGGCACCTCACACTGGCCTATATAAAGAGGAGCGGAGCGCAAAGGCTCCAAACCAAGAAAAGGAGAAACAAAACAAAAATGTTAGAAGCATTGATGATCTTATGCGTCCTAGGCACTTCAGCCTTTTCATTGAATCTCATATACTATTGAATAATACCAAGGATGCGAATCCCCAAGCTCTACATACATCTTCGACCCCAAGCTCCACAAGCTCCGATCCACATCTTCCACCTCACCCCACCCCACCGCCACCGCCACCCAGTTGGACAGGCTTTCAACTGACATTGACCTGGTCAAACGGCTTCTGTAAAATCCAGCAGCGTATTCCAAGTAAAGTTGTTCAAGTCTTCACGATTCACGGACTTTGGCCGCATGATAAATTATGGAATAGCCCACAACCCCCTCTAGGGTCGCCGAAGTTCAATGATATAAATTATGGCGACCCTAGAGGGGGTTGTGGGCTATTCCATAATTTATCATGTGGCCAAAGTCTGTGAGTCGTGAAGACTTGAACAACTTTGCTTCATTGCTTGGAATATACTGCTGGATTTTACAGAAGCCGTTTGGCCAGGTCAATGCCAGATGAAAGCCTGTAATTGGGGTGGCGGGGGGGGGGGGGGGGGTGGAAGATGTGGAGCTTGGGGATTCGCATTCTTGGTATTATTCAGTAGTACATGAGATTCAAATGAAAAGGCTGCCGGAGTGCCTAGGAGGCATAAGATCATCAATGCTTCTAACATTTTTGTTTCTTGGTTTGGGGCCTTTGTGCTCCAGCAACTTGTATAGTGAAAACAAAGTTCAACCAACAAATTAAATTCATATCGAATTGAATTTATAGAGATTCACGTGTTGTTATCACACACCCACAAATAGAATTATGCTAAACACTTTGTGCTCTGATCTACTTATTTCAATAAAATCCTTTACCATTCACAGACACCACATGAAATAAAATTTGATTATAAAAGTTCAAATAGCCATAAACCATGATGGTAAATGACTGTTTGAGGGGGATTTGGTTAACTCTTATGAGGGGAGGATGAAACTATGAGGCAATTATATAGGTAACTAGGAAGAGAGGGAGCATAATTCACATTACACATACGTTGCATGTATTAACAAACTAATTTTTTTTCGAATAAACAGTGAGGCTCTTTCAATATATAAAACTCTCACCTCTTTCGTCTCTCTCTGCTCTCAGCCTCACCGCCTCTCTCACTTCTCTGCCTCTCGCCTCTCGCCTCTCGCTACCGGAGTACCAGTTCCTAAGTCATAGACTCTTAATAAGTTAATTATATTGAATTTTGTTGGTGTTGCCGTAGAATTTTATATGAATGTGAGCAGTGACTAATATTGTTTTTAATCAATTTAAATATTTAATGTATGTGGTTTTTGGATGATTTATACAGTATGTGCTTAAGTGCTTTTATATCATTATATGAATCATGAATGTGAGCACTGAGCTGAGCCAGTGAGCAGCTAAAATTATTGTTTTTAAATCATGAATGGCGTATGTGCTTAAGTGGTTTTTGGATGATTTATGTATAATAGACGAAATGAGCAGTGAGTATGTCTAAATGAGAGTGTAGAGGAGTTTTCAAAACCAATGTTTGATTATTGGATGAAAATGTGCCTTGTCGGAGGTAAGAGAGGTTGTAACTTTGTTGTAAAAGTAAATGACTCCATTTAACAATGAGACAATGACTTTATGCTCCCAAAAGACCTGTTCAAGATTTCTCTTTGTGCTTAATCTGAAACTAACAAAAGTTAATATGATATATTTGGATGGATGAGTTTTAGTGCCTTTTCTTTTTGCAACTTTGTTGTGAGTTTTGTTTTGCTTTAAGTATATACATACTAAGTACTGCCAATTGGCAATTGCTTGGTGTTACAATTGGCAGCATGGAGGAGATGTAAATGCTGCAGATCATACAGGGCAAACAGCATCACACTGGAGTGCAGTTTGGGGTGCAGTTCCGGTTGCAGAGCTCTTACCCCAAGAGGGTGCCCTGGTAAATCTGGTTGATACATATGGGTATCAGGTATACTATACTTTTGCATGTATTTTATTTTTAGCACATGAACCTTGTATTTGAACATTTTTAATTCAATTTACCTTTGCTTCGTCGCCCCCACTCAAAGAAATCCTGGTTCCATCCTTGACAATAAATGGTTATAAACCACTTTCTAGTGTCGATATAAAGAGGAGCCAAAGGCCCCAAACCTTGAGCACAAACCAAGAAAAAAAAAAAAACAATCATGACCATATTCCTCCTAAATGACACTCCAGCCTTTTCCTCTCCAAAATCCCATATATATATATATATATATATATATATATATATATATATATATATATATATATATATATATATACATACTAGTATTTTTTTATGCGCGATATGATACCCAAAAATTAGGTACCTAATATTATTATTTTATATTAAGATTTTTTATATTTAAGTTATTATAAATAATAATAATAATAATAATAATAATAATAATAATAATAATAATAATAATAATAATAATAATAATAATAATGATAATAATTATGATGATGATGATGATGTAAACATTTTTATACATTTGATATTTATTATTGAAGAAGATAATAAAATATATGGTGGATGCATGTGCATAGTAACAACAGTGGAAAAGATAACGGAAGTTATAACGGTAGGGGTATATTTGTCCAAAATATTATAAAGTACAACCTTTATAGCATAATGTATAAAAAAAATTAACGAAAAAAATGGACATAAATGAAGGGTATAACCTTCATTCACACTTATTATGAGTTTAGATTATTATTATTATTATTATTATTATTATTATTATTATCATTATTATTATTATTATTATTATTATTATTATTATTATTATTATTATTATTATTATTATTATTATTATTGTAATTTATTCCATAACATGTTTTTGTTTTTTTTTTTTTTCTTTGAGCACAACAACATTTTACCACCTTATTATTAGAAAAAAATACGGTATTAATTTTAAAGATTGTGATTTTGGTAGGGCCTCATTTACTTACCACAACGGGGCCACAAAAATCTAATATAAAAACCGGCCCTGGTTTTCTGGTTCACCGCGTTGCGACTGAAGGCAACGATTGTTAGCGTTGCAATGGGGAGATGCAGCGAAGGCGAAGCTAGTTTTCCCGCGACGTCGCTGCTCCATTCCCTCCATCGGGTAACGTCGGTGGGCCTTGTGTGGTGGTGTCCGTGGGTTGAAGTTGCGGGTGACGGGTTCCAGGCGACGTCGATGGCGACAGGGCACTAGGCGTTGCAACAAGGCGAGATGGCGGAGCCGTGCTGGGTTTTCCGAGGAACATTCGAATTCTCGCTCTCCTCCTTCAGCGGCGCCATCGTGATTACTGTCTCCATGACTCCATTCTTCCTCCGTCCGGCTGCACTAGTTGGTTCTTCAGTTCGTTGCCGAGATTACTGTGTGAGGAGCCTGCTACTACTGCTGCTTCTTCATGCTTCTCCCGTCGACGCCACAGGAGGTAAGGCTTCTGGTTGATTAAAGATTAAGAAGATGATGGATTATAGTTTATGGGCCGGGTCTGGCCCATTTGGCCAGACTTTGATTATTATTTAAAAAAAATTGGGCCTATTTTAGTATTTTGGGCTTGCTTCAGCTCTCTCCATCATATTTTGGACTTCTTTTAGCTAATTATTCAATTTAATTTCTCCTTAATTCATTATTAAATTGTTATTCAATTTGGAGCAAATATTATGCTTTAATTTGCTGTTTGAATTTTAATTTAATGTTAAGGTGCATATTGAATTGTCTCAAGTTTTAAAATTATAGTTAATAATATATTAATATGCAAAATCAAAACATGCTATGTATATTTATTAAATAATTATTTTATTATTATAATTATACATGCATAAAAGCACGCATTAAGATTAGATTTAGCATATTATTAATTCTTAAATTCATTATTAAAATATCATTCAATTTTGGATACTTAGACCAATTTAGGACATTATAGTCTATTAAGATAACTTGTTTTTTGGTTTTCCCTTAATTTTGAGCATATTTTAGTATTATGTGTATCTGGAACTTTAGGACCTATTTTGAACAAGCTATTTGGGACGTATCTTGGGTCATTAAAGTATGGATCCCACCATTTTGATTGATACTTTAATAATAATTATAGCCTTTTTATTTGACTTATAACATGTTTATTAAGTGTTAATTATTACTAACTACCATATTTTGGTATTCATCATTGGTAATAATATTAAGTTTTTGGTCTATTTCAACACTAGACCATTTTCCATTCATGTTATAATTCACTTGGGCCATTGAGGTTTATAAGCCTAATTTGATTGATTAAGTGCTATAATTATTGTCTTGGCCTATTTTGAGACATTAAGGATTTAAGGATTTAATTTTGGCCATTAAGAATTACAAACTATTGTTTAAGTTGATTAAGTTTTAATTTATAATAGTTTTCAGGGCTTTAATAATAATAATAATAATAATAATAATAATAATAATAATAATAATAATAATAATAATAATAATAATAATAATAATAATAATAATAATAAGTCTTTAATTTTATGGCAAAAGCAATATAGTTGCTATATTGTCTGTATAATGGTAATTTGGTTATTACCCTACTTTCAGTCTCCCTAAGTATCATAATAGTCATGGTTAATTATTATGTGGTAAATTGAGATTAGTATTTGGCACCCCTTAATCAGTTTTGCCTTTATTGTAGTTATTATTAATTGGCATTATTAATTACTGTTATTAAGTTTAGAGGCTAATCTCATTTATTAGCTTGCATAATAATTATTATTTCATGGTAATCTGCCATATTTGGTACATTGGTATGCTTAAATACTTCATTTTATATGATTATTAATGTTTGTAATTAAGTCCTACCAATAAATCTTTAACGTACCATTGGACGTTGTATCGAGGTTACTGCACCGACAGTGAAGATAGGGAGAATTCTGGGGTTTTTCTTCTCATGTTAATCGTCATCGTTGTTAGCGCAATGGAGGAGATACGGTTTGCATCACTAAGGTAGGCCATTAATTATCTTTTATTGTTATTATTGGTAATTGTGCTACAGTTACAGTTAACCGCTACTTTAGACTAGTCACATATTTTATCTTTAGAAAACTGGAAACATTAAAAGATGTATTATCATACTTTAGTTTGTCGTTATTACTAATGTTAATAGTGATTATAATGTTACTTATTACTATTAATAATTAATTAATGATGACATTAATATTGTTATGGTATTCAGTTATGTATCTTGAATTGTTTCCAAATAAATCTATGTGACAATATTTCGGTTCAGAAAATATTTTTTTTCTTGACACTAATGTTTTCCGGACATCAAATTTTATTAAGTTTTCAAAACTATATCTGAAAATATTTATAAATATTAGCGGTTTTAATCATTGCTTTTCCATATTTAATCTCCTACTTAATGTGATAATGATAAGAACGGATAGAATTGTATTCAGGAATATAATTACAAATGTACAGATTGCAGGTATAGATAAAGAGAGAGTTTCAGTGAGACGGGAATAGGGAGTCATAATCTAACTCAAATACATAGAGTCTTAATACCCCCCCTCAAGCACAAGGTACAGTAGTGACTTGTAGCTTGTCTCTAAGAAAAGAAATCTAGGACCAGGTAGAGCTTTAGTAAAGATATCTGCCAGTTGATCTTTTGTTGAAATAAAGTTAACCTGTATATCATTACCTGTAACACCCCTCATTTTTACCACATTTTTAAAACTTAAATGCCCAAGCAAACATCTAATCATCAAGACATAATGCAAGGGAAGCTATACAAAATCAGGGTATGTTATGCCACATCTATCTTAGACATAGGTGCACAAGCGGGAAAAAATATCAATTCAAACAAGTCATTAAATGTCAAGGCACACAGGCCGCTAAAAAGGCTCACAGGCCATCAAAACATAACGTCTAGACAAGGTAGCTAAGCTATCTATCGATCCACATCTAGCGCTCTCAAACCTCTACTCAAAACCTGTAGAACAAGGAAAACATAACATGGGGATGACACCCGGTTAGCGAATCTTGCTGGTAACCCATCAATACGCGTTAAATAACATATATAGATAAGTATAAGCAAAATCATTTCGAAATGAAATACAGTATATACATTTCAAAACCATAGAGAGAGAAGTCAACTTCAAGGACTCATCAAACACTCTCAGGGAAACGGGAATCACCACCCTCACAACAACAACAAGACTACAAACATGAAAGACAAAAAACTCAGGATGCATTCTACTGATCACAAAGTAGAATACATCAAGACATGCTCTTAAGCAAAGAATTCATATTCACACAGTGACAACTACATGTCACAAGTATCATAGTTCCAACCTTATGCCCTGTTCCAACCTTATGGCTACCCCCGACCTTATTTCAGTTCCAACCATTACCTCCTAGTGCCACCCTGTACTTCTGAGTCCAACCTTTTGCCTTATGTCCCCCCTCCAACACTCCTATTCACCGCCGAACTCTCAGTACACGAGGGTACCATTAATTTCATTCACAAAACCGCCAAACTCGTGAGCAAAGCTCAAGTAACAAACCACCTATCTCAATCATAGTCACACAAAGTCATCATCATTACCAAGAAGACCAAGACTCAACAATAGTCTTAATCAAGTATCAACAAAGGGTACAACGAATTACATACGTTCACATCATAGGAATCAATCAAGCGATCACAATAAAGACATGAGACCATACTCAACAACAAAGGATTCCAATCCAACACCAAATGATTGTCAACACAAGTTGGCAATCTCAATACGAAAGAACAAACCACACATACTAGCATTTCAACATCAAAATAGCATGCTTATCAAACGGGTAAACCAAAAGTAGTTCCAAAGAACATTCAAGACTCACAATTAGCCCAACGAATCACAAGGTTGGACCCTTAGCACGATTCAAGACACCAAATCCTACATGGATTCCTAACATACCGTTCTAGACATACGAAACATCAAGAAGACTCACAAATAGCCCAATAAAACAACATCGGGAGGTCAAAACATCAATACCGAGTCAAAAGAATCACGGGGAACAAATCCCCGCCAACTGCCAACAACGTTCCCCGCGGGTGGGACCACGGGTGGACAACCACCCGCGGTTCCGCCTGCGGGTACATGCCCACGATGAACCACGTACCCCGCGGGTGGGGCGGGTAGGGCCCTGCCCGCCGTTCCGCCCGCGGGTACACCTTGTACACCAAAATTATCCCTTCGGGGATTTTCAACAATAAGGCCAAGTTCAAGTCCAAAACACCCAAAATCTCACACACAACAAGAATATGACTTGAACCCAAGAAACAGCCAAGCAATGACATTAAAGAACCCTAAGAACAAGCTCTAAACATGCATCACCATAAGACAATGCATCAAATCTCACAAATCAACACAAGAATCACAAGTAGGAGCCAAGAAATCATCATATAAGTAAGAAAATAGGTTTTGTAAAGCATGGTTTACCTTTGTAGCCTAATAACTTCCTCTTTTCAACCTTAGAAAGCCTTTCCTAAAGCTCCACTTCCACACCAACTTCATACACAAACCAAAAGACAACAAAGATTCTATCTTTAGAAAAAGACACCTAAAAGGTGGTTAAAAACATCAAAAGACCAAGGATCTTACCCTCCAATATGCTCAAGATGAAGAATGTAGGAATCTTGGGAGACAAACTTGCAAGACTTGGATGCTCAAATCCTAGCTTGGAGGAGAAGCTAACTCTTTTTAGAGAGAAGCTAGAGGTTTTTGTGTTTTAGGTTGAAGGGTGAGTGAAATGAAAGAGTTTTGGCTAGGTTAGCTTGAATCATCAACTTTAGGTAGAAAGACATTCCTACCCTTAATAATGTTAGAAAGATAAGGGAACATGGGCACAACTCAAGAAGCACAAGGTACAACCCTTTGACTTAAGTGACTAGTCAAAATCTAGTCCCTCGACTATTAAATTTCAGGATTTTTAGGAATAAATTAGCAAAGAGATTAGGATTAATTCTCTAATTAATCCCTGATTAGTGTTTGGATTTACGGGGTGTCACACTACCCATCGCAAGGATATTATCAACATATACTAGAACATAAATGAAAGCCGAATCTTGCAAGTAGTGAAATAAAGATACATCTGTTTTCGAGGCTTTAAACCCGATTGAAATCAGAAACGCATGCAAGTGATTAAACCAAGCTCTAAGAGCCTGTTTTAATCCATATAGAGAACGTTTCAACAGGCAAACATCATTGGGGAACTGTTTATCAATATACCCAGGTGGCTACTTCATATAAACAGTTTCAGATAATTTCCCATTCAAAAAGGCATTGTGCACATCTAGCTGCTTAACAACTCAACTGGAGGATATAGCTAAAGATAGAAGTAACCTGACAGTTGTGGGTTTGACCACTAGGCTGAATGTGTCAAAAAAATCCTGTCTAGGTACTTGATTAAATCCTTTGGCTACTAGCCTTTCTTTGTGTCGTTCATTGATCCATCAGCTTTCCTTTTTGTGTGAAAAACCCATTTGCACCCAATAACATTCATATCTGTCTGTGATGGAACAAGACACCAAATCTCATTCAGAAGAAGTGCATTAAACTCTTCGTCCATTGCTTTGCGCCATTCACTGTGTTTTACTGCCTGTGTATAACAAGTGGGTTCAGTAGGACAGACCTGAGCAGAGAGAGCCAAAAGTGGAGCCTGAGAACGGCTCTGAGCAGCCATGGTGTGCGACTGGACCATGGACTTCGTAGACCGCCCCCTAGGCTGGCCTCGGGGTTGAGTGACAACCACCGCTTCAGTGGGTTCAGCGTCCTCGGGCTGGGCTGGTTCTGGCTGGTTAGTGTCAGCCGGGGCTAGTACGGGCAGTGCGGGCTGAACTGTAACAACCCAAAATTTCATTTTATAAATCCAGTATGAAGAAATTTCAAAATAGCCATTTTCACTCCATTAAAAATTTTTGCAATTAATTGGTGTTTGAATAAATTATTTTTGTCACATTTTAAATTAATTCAACACCAAAATTGATTCTATTAGAAAATTCCTAAATTTTCGGGTACTTCGCGTACCAAGATTTAAATCGTGAAATTTATCAGAGTGAGACCAGGAGAATTCAAAAAGATTTTAAACAAGGGTTCATCTAATTAGCTTTTTGAGAAAATTCATTTTCAACCCCATAGTATTTAAAATAGCATTTCTAGTCTATGGTCCATGTTGCAAGGTGGACCAAAAAGAGCATTTCTCCTTGTCTGATCTTTGCTAGAACTACCCCAAAAATTACCACTTTGCCCTCAACCAATCATTGAGTATCCTTCTAGGGTTTTGAACCCATATAAAAGCAATAGAAAGCCAAACTTTTCCCCTGATTCCATTCTTTGTCTTCCCACGCAAGAGCTCAACAAGAGAGAAAGAAGAAACACAGTAAGTTCTTAGGCTCATTTTCACCCTTTGCTCATCTAGTTTCTCCTCTTTAGCTTCAAATCTCTGAGGTTCTCCACTTAAGTGTTGTTGTTTGGCTTGCTTGAGATATTTAAGTGGTGAAGGGGATAGTGGTTGAGTTGGGAAGAAGAAGGAATCCATACAAGAAGAAGAGACAACAAGAGGTATAACCCCATGGACTCCCTCTTTGAAATTTGGCTCTGTGAAGCCTTTATATTGAGTAGAAATGAGTATAATCTATGAGATTTTGTTGTTTTTAAGCTTAGAAGTGATCTAGTATTTGTTTGTGAGTTGTTGAGATTGTTTTGGACTTGTTTGGATTGAGTTTTGCAGATGAGAAAGCCTTCTAGAGCCATGGTTGCACGGGACTAGGGCACGACCCTAGAGGAGGGCCGCCACCTAGTCCCGATGGAGTAGCGGGGTACATGGGGCGGACTATGAGGAGTCCCGTCCCAGGTCCCTGACTTTGATTCTGAGAAGAATCTGTGCAGTGGCCGGGCCCTTGTGGCTCATCTATGTGTTGTTTCGAGTCGAGTGTTTACGGGCCCTTGTGGCTCGGCTCTTCGGGACCGTCTCGACGCATGTTTTGGCTTTGATTTCGTTGAATTTGGATTAAAAATGAGTA